TGTCGCTGGCCTCCCACATAGTCAACCGCGGTTCGTGTCCTGGACCCGGTGGCTTAAAACTCACGCCGGGCGCATGTGCGTGCGTGCCCAATATCCCGAGGGGAGAATGGAGGAGAAGGGATTGCGGCGTGACCATCTCTCCTGGGGGGGTGATTTCTCGCTTTCTGTCTCTCTGTCTCTCTCTGTCTGTCTAGCGAGCGCACATGCCCTATAACAAAAAAACTCTCCAAAAAAAAAAAAAAGAAAAAAAATTCCAAAAAATAAAATACAAATAAAAAACAAAATTGTTAGAATTACAGAAATCTAATAGAAAGTAATAATAGACCGCAACGACTATTAATTGACAGGACAAACAAAAATTAACTGAACACAATTATGCTCTAATGGACACATAGCAATTAGAGGATACATACCCTTTACAAGTACACACAGAATAGTTACAATACTTCACTATGTACAAACTTTACATAAAGCAAGGGAAAAAAATTGCTTTAAAAAAATAAAATACAGGCCCAGACACAGTGATGGTATAATACTCTGCAATGCTGGAAGCGATATGGAAGATTGGGATTCAGTTCCTAGGTTGTCCTGTCCATACCAGGTGTGTACATACACATCCATGATCCTGGGTGACTGAAAGGCTGGTGAGGGAACCTGGCAAGGGTACTTGTCTTTCCTTCTCCAAGGGAGGGAAGGAAGTGGAAAAGTAGAAAGGAAAAGGATAAATGAAAGGAAAAGATAAAAAGACCACCTTCTCTGACAATGATTAAGAAATGAACAAAAAGAAAGAAAACTTTAATGTAGAATAAAGTTATTCCTAGGCAAGGTACAGTGTGCAGTGCTAACAAACGCTATACTCCACTATGCTGAACCTGTATGGTCCTTGGCCCAGATCCCAAGGTCTTCCTATGCATGCTGAGTCCACCTACGTGCCCAGGATCCTGGCTTGCTGAGGCTGGGGATGGATCATGATATAAAGATCTTGCTGGGGATGCTTATCTATCACTTTCTGTTTCTCTGTCTCCATGTAAGACATAAATAAACCTAAAAATATATACATTTTAAAATAATTCATTAGTCAAAGAAGTAGTCAAAATGGAAATTTTAAAAATACTTAGATTTGAGGGGCCAGCAAGTGGCATGGTGGTTACGGTGTTGGACTCCCACATGGCCGACTGTGGTTCAAGTCCTAGATCTGGTGGCTTGCTTTCTCACTCTCTCTCTCTCTCTCTCACTGGTCAAATTTAATAATTAATTAATTAACAGAATAATTCTTAAAAAAAAAGAAAACTTAGATCTGAGAGTTAATGAAAACACTATACAACTATGTTAGATAAAGCAAAAATGGATGACAAAGAAGCTTATCACCCTACACCAGGAAACACAATTGTTCACCAGAGGGAGAGAGAGGGAAAGCACCCTCTGATGGGGCATGGTCATCCTGCAATCCTTTTCAGTCCTGTCAGGATTTTGGGCATCCATGTACAAGCACTTGGCTTGTTTTTCAAGCCACCAGGGCCAAGATTTGAACAACTGTCAACCATGTGGGATATGGCTCCTTAACCACTTAGCTATGGAGCCAGCCCAAGTATGCAATTTCAGTTAGAAAAATAACAAAAGAATAAACTTACAGAAAATAAAAGGAAGAAAATAATAAGTAAAAGAGAAAAAAAGAGGTCAGTGAAATAGAAAGCAAAGACTATAATAGAGGTGTTATTTGGTCAAAAGTTGATCCTTTGTCAGGGTTAATAAAGTAGACAAACTTGTGACAAGACTGAATGAAAAAAAAGAGCTAAGGCTCAGGCATAAGTAATATTCAAAATGCAAAACAGGAACATAACTACAGATAAAGCAGAGGCTAAAAATGGAATTAAAACAATACCATGGGTGGGACCAGCAGTTGGCATAATGGCTATGTCGCTGGGCTCCCATGTAGTAGATCACGGTTCAAGTCCCGGTCCTGGTACATGTATATGCGTGCCCAAGATGCCAAGAGTAGAATGGAGGAGAAGGGATTGTGGCATGGTCATCCCCCCAGGGGGCGGTTTCTCGCTTTCTCTCTGTCTCTCTCTGTCCTTCTGGCAAGTGCATGCACCCTATGGCAAAAACCTCTCCAAAAACAACAACAACAAAACAATACCATGGGGGACCAACAGGTGGGCCTGGTGATTAAAGCACTGGATTCCCACATGGTCAACTGTGGCTGGAGCCCCCAGACTGGCAGTTTGAAAATCAGTTGCGTGCCTGTGCATGTGTGCCCCGAATCCTGAGAGGACCACAGAAGAAAAGGAACTGTAGCATGGTCATTCCCCCCAAGCACGATTTCTCACTTTTCCTTTCTCTGTTTCTCTCCCACAAGCACATGTGCCCTATAGCAAAAATCTAAAAATGAAAAGCAAAAAAAGAGACTTGATGCCAATAAACATAAAAATATTTGAAGGAGAAATTTCTAAAACTTACCAAAACTAACTAAATGAAATAGAAAATCTAAACAGTCCTATAATATTGATATTCAATTGCTAATTACTACTAAAGTTCCACAAAGAAAACATTAGATCCAAATGATCTGACAAGCAAATTCCATCCAACTTTAAAAATATTTTAAATTAAAAGAAAATGTACTAGAAGGTGCATGCACTTGCCAGAGAAAAAGAGAAAGCAAGAAAGCACTCCTCATAGGGAATATTCACACTGTAATTCTTTCTCCTCCAATTCTTTCTCTTTTCAGAGTTTTGGGCAATGCATGTACACATACCTGGCATGTTTCTCAAACCACCTGTCCAGGATTTAAACTGTGTAGTCAGCCATGTGGGATCCAACTGCCTTTACCACCAGTCCTCAGATTGGCCCATGTCCACCAAATCAATCCAAAGTCTTTCAGGAAAAAAATGATCTACTCTAATTCAATGTGTAAGGCCACTGTAGCCTTAGTATCAAAATCAGAAAAGAATATAAGAATAAAAAAATTAAAAATTGGAATCCATTATATTTAACAGATAAAAGGAAAAAAACTGCAAGATATTCTCAACATATATAGAAGAAAAACATGACATTACACAAACTTTCACTAACTTAATCAAAGGTATCTACAAAATCTCATAGACAATATTATTCTTTTTTTTTCTTTTCTTTTCTTTTTCCGCTATAGGGTGCGTATGCTCGCCAGACAGACAGATAGAGACAGAGAGACAGAAAGCGAGAAATCACCCCCCAGGGGATGGTCACGCCGCAATCCCTTCTCCTCCATTCTCCTCTCGGGATCTTGGGCACGCACGCACACGTGCCCAGCGTGTGTTTTAAGCCACCGGGTCTGGGATGCGAACCGCGGTCAACTATGTGGGAGTCCAGCGACATAGCCATTATGCTAACTGCTGGTTCCCGACAATATTATTCTTAACAGGAAAATATTCCCTTTAAAATTGGGAATGAGGGAACCAGCAGTTAGCATAATGGCTATGTCGCTGGACTCCCACATAGTTGACCGCGGTTCGCATCCCAGACCCGGTGGCTTAAAACACACGCTGGGCACGTGTGCGTGCGTGCCCAAGATCCCGGGAGGAGAATGGAGGAGAAGGGATTGCGGCGTGACCATCCCCCCTGGGGGGTGATTTCTTGCTTTCTGTCTCTATGTCTCTCTCTCTCTGTCTGACGAGCGCATGCGCCCTATAGTGAAAAAAAAAACCTCTCAAAAAAAAAAAAATTGGGAATGAGACCTATTTAGCCATTATAATCACTTCTAATGAACAACCATAATCACTTCGACTGAACAAAGATATAAAGTGTGCTAGAATATTATGACAAAAAAAATTAATTATAAGGGAAAAGTATTGGAAAGACACTGTCGCTATTTGCAAATAATATAACTATCCACAAAGAATACCCAAAGGAATTCCAGAAACTATATTAGAAATAATAAGCGTTTATTAAGTAGATAGCTAAAGGTCAATATTTAAAGTTCATTCAATTTTTATTTACTAACAATAGTCAGAAAACAAAATCCTTAAAATTGCCATTTGTGATAGCAACAAAAACGATTAAAAACATCAGAATCTGGGCCCAGCAGATGGTATGATGGTTGGGGTGCTAGACTCCCACATGGCCGGCTGCAGTTCTAGTCCTAAACCTACTGTCTTCCTTTCTCCTCCCCACCTCTCCTGCTGGTCAAATAAAAATAAAGGAATAAATACATAACATTAAACAAATAATTCTTTTAAAAAATGAAGCATCAGAATCAACATTTAAAAAGTGGAAGAGCTCTATAGAGAAAGTCACAGAATTACATTAGAAGACATTAAAGGGCAGGTGGCATGGTGGTTAAGGATGCTAGGTTCCTATATGGACAATTACAGTTTGAGTCCCAGACCTGGTGCCTTGCTTTTTCTCTTTCCTTTCTCTCTCTCTCTGTCCCTCTCTGTTCAAATTAAAAATAAAGATAATAAAATAATCCTTTAAAAAAAATAAAAAGAAAAAGAAAAGAAAGGAAGAAGACATTAAAGGGCTAACCAGCGGTATGGGAGTTAAGGCAACTGGATCCCTCATGACCACCTATGCAGTCCTGGACCCAGGGGCTTAAAAAACATACTGGGATGGGGCTGGAATGTGGCAAAGTGGTTAAGGGTGCTGGATTCCCACATGGCCGAGAGTGGTTCAAGTCCTGGACCTGGGGGCTTGCTTTGTCACTTTCTCTCTCTCTCTCTCTCTCTCTGTCCCTCTCTGGTCAAATTAAATAAATAATGTTAAATAAAATAATTCTTAAAAAACAAACAAACAAACAAACAAAAAACAAGCAGTGTGCATACCCAAAATCCCAAAAGGAGAAATGGAGAAGGGATTGTGCCATAACCATCTCCCATGGGGAGTGTTTTTTCACTTTTTCTGGCCAGCACACACACACACACACACACACACACACACTCTCTCTCTCTCTCTCTCTCTCTCTCTCTCTCTAGCAAATTAAAAAAAAAATTAAAAAACCTAAGTAAGTGGAAATAAATACATACCATCTTCTCAGATAGGAAGGCTCAAAATCTTAAAGATTTCAATTCTCTCCCAAACTGATTCAATCAATCCCAATTAATTCCCAGAGGTTTTTATGTCTTGTAACAGACTGATTCTTAAAAAACAAGAACAAAAGTTTAAAAACAGCAGAGACTCAAGTCTTCCCATATACCAAGATTTGGTAAAACTATAGCATTCATAATTAAGATAGTGTAATATCAACATAGAGATTGACAAAGTGAGAAGTGATATAGGACCACAAGCCAGAAACAGACCCATGCATATAAAAACTAATCATATGAAAGAGATGTTACAGCAGATCACTGGTTAGCCAATTCAATACATAGGGCTAACTGAAACCACACAGGGGGAAAATTAATGTGGATCATTACCTCACATCATACATAAATATCAATTCCAATAAATTATGACTGTAAATGTGAAAGGCATCGTTTAAAAACTTTCAAAAAGAAACACAGGAGACTGTCTTTTTAAGTCCAGGGCAAAAAAGAATTCTAATTACATAACATTAAAATTAAGAGCTTCTGTTCAGCAACGTACACCACAAAGAATGAAAGGGCAGACCACAAACTAGAATATATTTACAATGCATATAATCAATAAAGGATCAGTGTTACCAGTTTATCAGTTTTAAAAGACAATCTATTAACATTAGAGTAGAAAACAGGTAAATGATATTACCAAGCATTTTATAAAACAAAAACACAGATGGTTCATGAACATATGAAAAGATGCCCAATTTCATTAATAATCAAATAAATGTAAATTAAAACACAATGATGCATCATTTCATACCTATTCCGCTGGTATATATTAAGTCTGGGGACCAGCAATTGGCATGGTGATTAAGAGTGCCGGACTCTCACATGGCTGACCACGGTTCGAGTCCCAGACCTGGCAGCTTGCTTTCTCATGTTCTTTCTCTCTCTTTGTCTCTCTCTGGTAAAAATGAAAAAATAATAATAAATAAAAGTTAAATAAAATAATTCTTAAAAAAAAAAATAGTCATCTGGGGCACCTGTGGCATGGTGGTAAAGAAGGTTGGATCTCACACAGCCGACTACCTACTTTGATCCCAGACCAGGTAGCTTGAAAAACATACTGGGCCACGTGTGTGCATGCCCAAAATCCCCAAAGGAGAGGTGACAGAGAAGAGATGGTGGGGTGGCTATCTCCCCTGGAGGGGGATCTCATTTTCCCACCCTCTTTCTCTTTCTCTCCAGCAATTACATGTGCCCTCAAGCAAAAATTTTTTTAAAAGTCTGACAATAATAAGTGTTAAGAGGTTGTAGTGCAAATGTAACCTACACACTGCTGCTCAAAGTATATAAACTGACAATCTGCTGGACAAAATATAAACTAGTACAACCACTTTAGAAAAAAATTGGCATCATCCTGTAAAAATGAACATTCACATCCATTGACTTAGCAATTCCCCTTCCAGCAAACACCTTACATGGTGATACTCCTTTGCTCCTAAACCCCAAAAATGTTTTTTAAAAGTACATATCCTTCATCTGTTAACATGACACCTAAAAATTGTAAAAGACGACTATTTAGAATACCATGGTGGCATTTTTAAGTAAAACGGATATATCACTCTTTTAAATATATAATTATTATTAGCATACAGCTAACAAAATTACAACTACATACGCTGCTAACTAAACATAAAAAGTGAAATGTCACTAGAAATGCATCTCCTTAAGAAATGAGAAGGTTCCTGGGTTAAAAGAGGCTTCCCCTAACACTATAAACAGTATTTTAAATTGTCCTAGTAAGATTAGAAATGGTTGTGTGGTTTGTCTTTCTTATGTAGAGTGCTACTGTGGAAAGACAAGGTAGGAAAATAAAGCCAGCAGGAGGCCTCTACACAGACCTCAGGTACTAACAATGTTAAGGAGTTCAACATAGAATTTAATGACCTAGATATCAGTTCACCAATATCACTTATATCCTCATACTCTTTAGAAAATCTTCCCTTCCCTGGAGATCATAGACTCCAGTTTGAAAAAGAGAGAAATTCTTACAGCTGTGTACCAGAAGATATGAGAAGATATGTACAGGAATTTTCCTAATAGCAAAATCTAGAAACAACCAAAATGTCCATCAACAGGAGAACGCAGGCACTGTGTTAAATCCATCCATAGAAAAGTACACAATAGTGAAAATTACTTACTTGATCTATACCCAATATTAGTGACTTTTAGAAACATAACACTGAGTGAAATGAACAAGTCCCAAAAGACTTTGTACCCAGTATAATTTTTTTTCTCACTCAGGAACAAAAGAACCATACAATACATTGTTGAGGGATGTATACACATCTGATAAAATAATTTTTAAAAAACAAAAAATAACATACACAAACAATTCAGGACAGTAGTCACCTCTAGAGGTGAGCACATTCCATAGTGGTCATTGTGATTCTCAGATTGATGGATTCAAAGGCGTTCATTTTATTGTTTTGTTTCACAGCTCGGTTTTTACATATAATCTGAATTTATCATATACTACATTAAAATAAAGAACAGAAAGCATTTTTAAAAAAACATTCATCATATTAAAAAAAAAACAAGCTTTTAATTAAATCACCTCACCTGCCACTAGATCAGTACATATAACATATCAGAGAAATTTTATCTTCACACCAACCATAGGAATTGACATACATTAGATACATAAATGTTCATTCACTGGAATTAATCTTAGGAGAACCAAATGAGATAGACTGAGCCAACTGGCTGTGAGAAGTGAACCCACCGACTGGCAACGAGGCTAGGGCAGAAGCCAATGTGGCTGCAAGCAAATTTAGCAGCAAGCTAAAGTCAGAAGGTAGCTAGCTGGTCAGAAAAGAAAGTCAGATAACATGAAGTATGAGCAAGGATGTGAGGAAATGCACTTTCTCACTCAATAACCAGTGAGAGTGAAAAGTACAATTAAGTAGTTGTACCAGTGATAGCTGGATATGGTGCAAATGCACATATCCTATTATCCAGCAAATCAACTACTACGTGTATTTCCCAAAGAAACTTCCAGATGTGCGCACAAGCAAATGGATACAGATATATTTATCGCAGGGCTGTTTCTGAGAGTCAAAATTTGCAAACCTCAAAGTCCATCAGTAGGGGAATGTACATATCAATTATGGTATATTCACACAATGCAATGCTATATCAATAATTAAAATGAGTCCACCAAAGACGTTATTCCAGTTATCCATTTATAACTCTCAAAATGTTTTGTTGAGCAAAAAAAGCAAGCTGCGAAAGACACATACAGTTTAATACCACTTTAGTTTCAAAACAATACTATATATTGCTGATGGATTCACTGCAATCAAAGTATAAAATACACAAGGAGATGACATACACAAACCTGCACACAGTGGTTATCTTTAGGGAGAGCGGTGGAGGAGCTGAGACCACCTCCAATATCCACAATTTTATTTCTTTAAAAAAAAATGATCTGAAGTAAATTTGGCAAAATAATTACATCTGTAAAATCTGAAATCATGGATTGGTTAGATCCCCCTCTGTATTTTACATTTAAAATATTCCAAAAAAAATTAAAAAGAAAAAAGAAAGTAAAATTATTTCAGTGCAAGAAAATATATCAGAACAGAGAAAGACACCAAATCGCAGCCCTTGAGCACACAGCAGGACCCCTCAAGCAGCAGGAGTAATAGTTGGGTCCCTAAACGGGTTTGTATCTTTCCTATTTTCCTTAGGACAAAGTACAAATTTCTTGCAATAAAAAATGTCCTAGCTAGAGCCATAATTATGAGGAAACTGCTCGCAAGGGAGGAGTAAAATCTGTAAGATTTCTACCTTGTTTCACTCGCCAGGATGCTAGGCAGAATCGAAACTGATTTACGTGAACGCCATAAAATACAACATGAATTACTAGGTATTATCAACAACCCCGGGGGCGACTAGAAAGTATCTACCCAACGGGCATGTGAAAATATTTAGGAAGAAATTTGCAATAAAATCGTTTTGGACGCATAGGGCGCCTCTAGGAAAGGCACATCACAGCGAAACAGCCCAAATTCACATACGCCATGGCTCCGCGTGTGTGCGCGCGCGCGCGCCCCTGGTCCCTCTATTCACTCCCCGTAATGTGCTGGGGATAAGCCACACTGACAGTATCAATCCTGAGGAGAAGCTGGCCAGCCCTCCGGCTTCCCGGTAGCATTTGGGGGAGGGAGAATGCTCCGAAGAGGTGCGGAGTAGGAGGTGCGGATTATCTCGCGCTCCGCGAGGCAATTCCGCCCGGAGGCGCCAGCCCTAAACTGGACTTCACACCCAAACAGGTGTCAATAACGTAGGGAACACACGAACAGAGCACGGGGCGCGCACAAACGCTCACGACACTCGCGAACGAGAACCGCACAAAGAGATCACGCACTTGCTAGGACTCACGAACAGCACATCAGGGGATAGGCGAGGACGCACAACGGCGCGAGCGAAGCTCCAGGCGGGGGCGGCTCAGCTGTGTGCTGATGGGGACGCGCGTCCCCCCACCCCCCAAGCACAGGCAGACACAAAAGGGGCCATCCACGGAGGTCGGTAAACCCACGCCCGCGCAGGGGAGAACCGGCGCCGACACCAGGCGGATCAGTAGGGGACACATGGGCAGTGCCCGCGCGCTCCCGCCGAGGGGTCCTCTCCCCGCAGGGCTATCACGCACGGACCGAGAGCTGGGTGTGCGAGCGGCAGGGGATGCGCCACAAAAGGGGACTACTCCCACCTCGCACGGGCACCCAGGGCCCACGCTCGCGAAAGCGGCACCAGACAAAGGCGACACACCCACTGGAGCTGACAAAGGCGGCCACACCCCCTCAGCGCGCCCGCACCCCGACCCACGCCAACAGCAGGCACCACAGGACGCGGGGCGACGCGCACACACCCACACTCACCACCCAGGGCGGGGGTGTGGAGGGCCGCGCTCCCCGGCCATCTCGGCTGCAGCGGGACAAGGTGACGCATTCCGGGAGCCCTGTCGCGCCCAGGTGTGCACTCACCGGGGCCGGCAGCCTGTAAACCTCAGAAGCGGACGGCCGCCGCCGCCGCCGGCG